GGCCCCAAGATAGCGTTTTAATTCCAGAGTTTGACCATCATGCCCCATGGACAATCAGGACCAAAAAAACTTAGCAAGTACCTCTGACAAGGGCAGAGGTTCAACTTGACTAAACAGAACTACACAAAGATAGTACAGATGGGGCCAGGGAGATGGCTCAGTGGAATATAGCGCTTCTCTGGCAAGCGCAAGGGCCTAAGTTCAATGCCCGGTTCTGAAAAAAAAAAAAAAAGACAGTACAGATTTTATAGCCTGGCTACCCTAGGGTAACATTCTGGCTCTCTACTCCTAGCCATGTGACTTTGGGCAATGATTTTACTTCAAGTCTCAGTCTCCTCTAAAATGGTAATGATGGTCTACCCCTTAGAATTAGTGAGAGAGATATACTGTAACGCTTCCAGAACAGGGTAAACATCCGAGGACTGTCCATGCTAACACAATCACAGATTCCTATTAGGATAATGATTCTAAGGTGGAAATACTACAAAGATGAAGTGATGTTTTAAATTGGCTTCAAAATGATCCAGGTGATGAGGAAAAGAGTAGAAATGAAATAAACATGAATAACTGGATTTGTTACTATACTTTTATACTTTTGAATGTTTAAACTTCCCTAATGAAAAGTTCAAAAGGGTAAGTACTGAGGGGGCAGAAATGTTATAAAAATACAAATAGTGATCATTTATTTTAAGATTATATCTCATCTAAGTATTGAGCAGAGGAAAAATGCTTTTAAAAAAAAAAGTATATCTTCTCAAACAGAAAGCACTTTCTTCAGATAAAACTGTCTCAGATGAACCACCTGTACACATTTCCTCCCTTCATTTTTTGAAAAAAAGAACATGTCTGGCTTAGGCTGTACATGCCTTTTAAGTAGAGAACCCCTGGTGGAAAACCTGGCTCTCGGCACTCCAGAGGCCTGGCTGAAACTGCCATGGAGCAGCAAAGTTCCCAGGCTAGGAAAATAGCAGAACTGACTCAAAATGCTCACGGACAGTGGCTACCACCAGAGTCCTCTCTTCTAGAACCCTGTTTTAGCCTCTCACTTAAGGTCTCCTCAGGAAGCAGCTCTGCGCTCTCTCTCTCTCTCTCTCTCTCTCTCTCTCTCTCTCTCTCTCTCTCTCTGAGTCTATATAAACTATTTTCATAGCAGATGACAGGGTCTCGTCAAAGCATCACTAATGTGTTAGATGATGCTTCTGGAGAAAGGGAACTTGTAAGAGGCTCTGATCATACCAACCACAGCACATCCCTGTATCATTTCTCTTCTACATTTTACTACTTAGAAAAGGCTAGACACTCAATAACAGAATTCTCATATTTTACTTTGAATCAACTAACCACTCCAAGCTCCTCTATCCAATAAGCTTTGTTTTAATCATGGTCCCAAAACCTGCCTGAAACAAGGAGAATAAACAAAAGTACTTACTCTTCTTGAAGAATGAATTCACTATTTTCTGGAGAAAACTGCCCAGTCACAGGATGCCTAAACGCTGTGGTCTGCTGGTTATGGCTAGAAAGACAGAAAGAAGATAAATGAGAAGTCACTTGAACGGAAAGGATTACAATCACAACAATGGATCAGCAATGTCTGGGGATCCCTTGGTCAACACAGGTTCCTCAGAGTGAGAAAAGTGGGCCTTTTTCTTATGGGTTGTCTTTGATCTATTACAAGTAATTTAAATTGGAAAACTAAGGATCTCTAGTTTAGGTATCAAATGTAGATGCTTTAATTCTGAGGAACTCTTGGTCTCAAGAGAACACAGTATCTTATACAACATTTCATGAAGTACTATATTTATTCCAGTACACTGAGGTGCTATTTAAAAATTACTTTACTAGAAGCTAAAACAGGAACAAAGGGAAACAGAGGACATTTTCTTTTCTTTTTTTTTTTTTGGTGGAACTTGGGATTGAAATCAGGCCCTTGCACTTGCCAGGCAAGCACTTATTCAACTGAGCTATCTCCCCAGCCCCCAGAGGACATTTTCAAAAGCTTCCAAAACCTATAAACTAGGGAAGAAATTCTAAAACTTAACCACCCAGCCAGCAAATTCTATCTGCTTAAAACTCTTCCCCCTACTACAAAATGTCTTCAGTTCATTGACGAGATCATAAACATGGGCATGTCTCTGCAATGTGAGCCACACAATTTAACATCATGGGGTTTCTATCACCCTTTTAAAGTTAGAAGAAATCACCTTCCACCCCAAGCTGACAGGAATAACCAAAGTGTACAGGTGTTCTGTATGCCTACAAAGGCTGCCTGGTTTTTAGAAGAGTTGGATCTATCTGGATTATTCTACAAATAAACCTTCACTAACATAATTTTTATAAATAAGAGTTTGATTTACTGGAAAAAAAAAAAACTTTACCAATCCAAAAAGAAAATCACAGTTGCTTTAAAAATTTTATAAAATCTGGAAAGAAAAAGTTACCTATAAAGTTACTATACGGAGATTTACCTTAGTATTGTTCCAGGGCCTGTCCCCTCCTATCTAATTCTAGCTGCTTAGAAACCTGAAACAAAAGGACTGCACTGGAGTCATCCTGGGCAATTTAGTGACACCTTGTCTCAAAAAACTATGAAAGAGTTTAGGATGTAACTTAGTGGAGAAGCACCCCTTGGTTTGATCCTAGTATCACTAAAAGAAAAGAAAAACAAAAGCAATTTTTATACCGCATATAAAAATACCTTGCTTCCCCCATCTTATTCATGCAGAAAATATCCTATATAATTAATGTTTTCTTTAGTTGAAATGACTAAATAATAATCCCATCATACAGTTGTAAACCTTTCATTCATGTAACTTTAAAAGATGTCACAGGGCACCTATTGCTCAGTCACTACTAGAGGTGCTGGAAACAAACAAAAATCTTTACCCTGTGCTGCTGACATTTTATATGTACATTCTTCTTAATGCTGGGTGCTTTAGGTGTTCCCTATCATCACTGTCATAACCAACACCCCTTTGAGTATAGGCTTTTTCTACAATTCAAATTACTGCCTTAAAGTCCCAGAGATAAAATTACTGAATCCTGCCAGGGAGATGGCTCAGTGGAATAAGCACTTCCCTGGCAAGCGCAAGGGCCTGAGTTCAATCCCTGGTTCTGGGGGAAAAAAAAAAAAAAAATTACTGAATCAAAGGGCATGGTCATTTTTGAAAACCTCAATACAGACTGTTAAAATACTTTCACTGTCAGTCAATAGATCATCTCAGATTGGTGATGTTAAAATTGACTACCAAGTCTCCCTGAAGATTATGTACAAAACAGTCCAACACCAAAGAATGAAGCAGAAAAACTCAAGGCCTACATAGTTTACCTGACTCTGCCTTAGTGCCTAGGAGCAAGCTGGCCACTGAGGGTTACAGTGGCCCAGATCTTAAACAAATATTAGCACCATCAGGCCAAGATGCTCCCTGGCCTGCCACTGCGTGCCACACCTAATAAATAGATCTTTACTCTTCCCAATCACAACCAGTTCTCAATTCCTGGTTCCTGATTCTGGCAAGCCTGTACAATCCTAAGATTTCATCTGGCAGGCAGCAGCTTGATCTTCCACCCCAAAAAAGGCAGTTTAGGTGTGAGTTGGGGTTTATCACACATTTAACTGTGATAAGGATGAGAAATAAGTATGCTTAAACACCTGTTTCAGAAACCCTTGTGTTGTATTCATTCATTAGACTTTAATTGCACCCAGCTTCTTCTAAAGAGTCCTCTTTACTCACCAGGGAATTTGAAGATGTAAATTCTAATCTATGCCAGCCTCATTTCCACATGATGTGGGGAAAAAAGCTTGCTCATAATATCAACTACAATGTCCACTACTACCACTGAAGGGTTTTGTAGTTACACAGGATTTTCTTACACATTAACCCTATTTTATGTAAAAGAAACTGGGTTCAGGGAAGTGACCTATACAAGATAACTTTGTCAGTCAGTTAGGCACATGAATCCAGGTCCTCTATTTCTAAATTTCATGCTTTTGCAAGATAACCGGCTCTGCCCTTCCCTTAGGAATCTGAGGCTGTCAAGTTCCTGGCCATCACCAGAAAGCAGTGAAGAAAAAGAATCAGAAAAACAGCACTACCCTATACTAGCTCTCTAGTTAACTCCCTCTATCCCCTGTGTCCAGGGCCAAAGATCTCAGTAACAGTATTTATGTGACACTCAATAGCCCCATGTAGCTTTTGATCCTACCACAAGATTAGCTGGTGGATCTCTACAAAGTGGGAGCGTAAGACATTTTTCTTATGTCACTGAAGCAGAAACTGCAGCCAGCTGCCACACAACAGCTCTTAGGCTACCCATCCAAAGGATGTACTGGCTTAAATAAAACAAAAGTCTTGGATAAGAGAATCCTGAGCTGCAAATGGAAAACTCTAAGCATAAACAAAACTGCATTCTAATATTAGAAATAAAACTGTTTGACTGTTTCCTTATTTTCTTTTTTGGATTTTTTTTGAGATAAGGTCTTGCTATATAATTTAGGATACCCTTCAGCTCACTATGTAGCTCAAGCTGGCCTCAAAGTCATGACAATCAGCCTGCCTCAGACCCCCAAATGCTGGGATTATAGTTGTATACCATCATGCCCAGCTATTAATTTTTAAAAGATAAAAAAATAGCTGCCGTCAGGCCCTAATATAGACGCTGCCTCTGCAGCAATCGTTTCTGCCCACAGCACCATCACCACCGTCTGCCACATCCACACAAGGCTTTCACCACACTCACACTCATCATCTTACTGAACCTTTCCGACTATCCAACATGGTAGGCAGCACAAGTATTTCCATTCTCATGATAAGGAAAACAAGGCTCTAGATAATATATTTGATATTACTGGAGCACAGAATTTAGAAAAGATAGTTTTAGAAAAGATTCATACATAAAAAAATACAAAAAACAACAGAGTAATGCTTCCTGACTCCTAAGATCTTATGATCATTTTTTTTTTTAATCAAATGTACCCAGCTTGCTAATGACAGAGCTTCTAGTTCAGTGTTCTCTAAACAAAAGGACATGAATTAGGTCCCTGAGTTATTCCATGCAACCTCCCCAATAGCCAGTAAGGCAGTTTATGTAGGATCACAGGCCATGAATGAGAAAAGTAGAACCCACAAGGGTAGATAATTTTCCCAGTCACAGTCAACTCCTGTGATCCCTATATCCTGCTCCCAGCTGGAGAGCTAGCGTAGAGGTTTGCGCAACAGGCTCTACAGAGCGATCACGTAGGTTTGAGCCCCTATATACTGCCCCCTCAGACTTCCTTCCATTTCCCCAGGAGCATCCTTACCAAACAAAGACTGATTGTGAGAGCCTGCAAGGCTTTTGTCTTTACTTGCTATCCTTGTCTCTTTAACCCCCAAGCCCCAAGTCTTTTGTATTTCCCGATTCTACAATCCATGAAGTGTATCAGGTCCTTTCACCCTGTCAAGAAACACTGGGGCTGGGGAGAGGGTTCAGTGGAATAAGCCCTTCCCTGGCAAGTGCAAGGGCCTGAGTTCAATCCCCGGTTCCGCAAAAAAAACAAGAAGAAGGGGGCCGGGGAGATGGCTCAGTGGAATAAGCACTTCCCTGGCAAGCATAAGGGCCTGAGTTCAATCCCTGGTTCCACCAAAAAAAAAAAAAAAAACAAGAAGAAGAAGAAGAAACATTTAACAGGCACAGGCACATTCCCTGAAATACCTGTTCTTGAACCTGACTTGCTACCTTGCTCCCTAGTAGAGATGGGCCCACCAGGAGTCAGGTGGCTAGCTTCAAGAGAGCACAGAAAACTCTTCCTCCTTCACAGAAGAGCTTCTGTTTCTCCTCATACTGACAAAGCAGCTTGGCAAATTAACTAAAATGCGGTATAGCCTTATTTTTCAAACCCCAGGCCTCCTCCCAGCAACACCCCTTCAAAGAGATAAGGCAGCCAGTCTCACATGTGCAGAAATAGCAGGGAGCATGGTGGGAAGGTGGCAGGGGAGTCTGGGTAAACATCCAAGTAAGTAAGCACGCCTTCACAAGCCAAGGGCTAGGGAGAAGTGGGCCAGGCTCCGCAGAAAGCTGGAAGTGAATCCACTGAGAATAAAGGCTGAACTAGAGACCATCTGAACCCAACAGGAGAGCTCACCTACAGCCATGGACAGGGCTAGTGTAGATGTAAGTGGGCCCTCCAGTACCTTAGGATGTTTTTGAAAGATTAATTTTCTACTTATATAGATTCTGACTCTAATATGAGTCATGACTCTGGCTAATTAAACATAAAAGTTCTAATTAGTAGTATAAGGGGGGGGTGGCAAGAAGTTATGGAATTATATGAAAGATGATCAACAATGGAGGTCTGAGTATGTTGATAAGCCTGGATTTCTGACAGTGGGGGTATTGGCAGATCACAAGTATGAAAGCACCAGCACCAGCTCTGTAAGCACCAGCTTTCATCTGGCCTAGGCTTTAAAATGTAAGAAACATATCTGGCCTAAAAGTCAGAAGAGGAGTTCTAGCAAAGATCTCACTGGTATGCTT